GCAAGAAAGATTCTATATATGATTCTATATGTGTCCCATGACCCATGGAGTAGACTGTTGATCAACACTGTTGATGAACATATAGGCAAATCTGGCCTGCATTTGGTGCTCTTTGGTGGTGAATGTAGGTCATCTTTTGGGTGCTGAATTAGGTATGTCATATCCCATTACAAGTACCAGTAACAGTGTATGATTATGGTTAGTAACAGCCTTTGCCAAGCATAGTACTGAGTTACTGATTGTTACTGGCAATGGGACACACTGCTTCCATGGGCGTGTCTGGGGTGTCCATGGCTTCTCACACCTCCCATGACCTCGGTTTCCGATCTGCTGCTCACGCCGCCGAATGCACCACGAAGTCGCTATTCTGCCCCCCGGCCCAGGATGCCTGGGAAAGGCCAAGGGAGGAGGTCGGGTGGCTAAGATCGGAATGGGAACACGAGCTGACTCATATGTTCAGCGTTTCTATGCATTTCTCTAGTTCTTCCAAGAAAAGGCCCGGGTTCTGTTCAAACTTGCCACCCTGTATGGTTTGGAACAGCGTGATACTTATATACTCAAGTAGCCAAAGCAAACTTCCTCGCTCTCACCACGCCTCAAACCGCCCGGCCCCGCGGAAGCACCCACAGGGTCGGTTCCCGCGGCACACCCGGGTGTCGCCCTCGAAACCGCACCTGTGATGTGATATCCTTTGCTTAGAAGGAGATCTCTGTAGGTCTTGGTATCCTGGAACCATGCGGCAAAGGTGAAGTCGAAGGCGACAAATCCAAGATTGGGCCACGTTGATATATTATGCAGTGCCGTGCCAAGAATGTCGTCTTAGTCTTAAGATGTCTTAAGAGAAAATGACAGACCTGTGGTGTCATTTTTGCGGGGATGATTTCCGGTTGCCTCATGCAGATAAAAATGAGACTGCGACACTATGCGGATATCTCGGAGTCTTTCAAGTAGTCATGCTCAAAAGACATACGTACGTCTCGTTGTTTGGTTCTCCTCTCCATGCAATCATGTCACCATGCCATCCTCTACAAAACAGTTGATTGAAACTTCCATGATTGTTTCAGGGAGAATTCTTGTTTCTCCTAGTAGTAAGGCCAGGAGCCCCGTTCTTAGCGTCCTTGCTCCTAGTAGCGATGCCAGGAGCCCCTAGTAGCGTCCTTGTTCCTATAATATGTTCTTTTTAGGTCTTGCTTTGCTGGTCTTTGGTACATACACAGTGTAAGACTGGAGTGTTCATCTTGCTAAAAAGGCAAGGGGCTGAGATACATACTTATGTTTATTATATAATATATAATATATATATATATACATTAAACATATCATATTGATCAAACAGCCGCTCCCTTCACAGGCCTCTTGGATCCTTTCGGTACCCCCCACGAGTGGTTAGAGCCGGATTCGGAAACTAATCGGTCGGATTCTGAAACTAGGGTTCTGAAACTGGGGTTCTGAAACTAGGGTTCTGAAACTTGGATTCTGAAACTGGTATTCTGAAACTGGGGTTCTGAAACTAGGATTCTGAAACTGGGGTTCTGAAACTAGGATTCTGAAACTGGTATTCTGAAACTTGTATTCTGAAGCTGGAAAGTCAGATTCTGCAACTGGTATTCTGAAACCGGAAAGTCAGATTCTGCAACTTGCCTTCTGAAACTTGCAACTGGTGATCTCCACATCATGCGACAGCGTGTGTGCCTGTGACATCACCTTCGAAGCATATCCAAACCAACGTCATTAGCCCCCCACCCAACCCCCCCACCCCCCAACCCCCCCTTGTCCCCATCGTGTGATCTCGACATCACGCCAACCCCCTCATCATTCACAAAGTTGCGGAATCCTAGTGAGGGAGTCCACAATGTTGCGGAATCCTAGTTGCGGAACGCCAGTTGCGGAATCCCAGTTGCAGAATCCTAGTTGCGGAATCCTAGTTGCGGAATCTTGACAGTTGCGGAATCCTAGTTTCGGAATCCTAGTTGCGGAATCCTAGTTGCGGAATCCTAGTTGCGGAA